CTCAGACTTACACTTTAGTCTGGGACTAGGCTTAATTAAGCCTTGTCTGTGGAACCGGGCGTAAATGATTTTTGGGGAATAAATTCTCAGCCCACATTGATGTTATTATGAATATAAGCGATTCAATTCTTATTTCAATCTAATAATAATAATAATTGTGTGCGCTATGCTTTTTTTTAAAAAAGCTTATGAGAGTCTCACTGTTCACGTGAGGAGCGCTATTTTATGACACACACAGATGCTGCCTAAGTAGACAGTTTCAAAACAAAGGTCCTGTTTAAGACAGCTCACTAAGCTTCAAAAGAGAGAATTAATGTATGGTGCATGCGTTATTTAAAATGATAGAAATAAAAATACAATGATTTCAACACTTGTTAACACTAGTTTAATACCAGTTAAAAAGAAATACTGAGGTACCTACCCATTTAGATTTTTAGTTTCATAATTTACTTGTTTTAAGAATATAACATCTGATTGTTCTGTTTCACACAGCAAAAAAAAATATCTTTGAATAGAGCTCTGTATTCATAAAACATATATTTTACATGGAAATGATGAAGCACAATGTTTTAGTTTGTAATATGTCACTAATTGAGTAGAACAGGAATTAATTGCTTGGGCAGTTATTTTGGCCAAAGTCACTAATATTCTGATATATTGCTATACATTGACATTCACAATGGAATCTAAGAAACCATCTGCTTACTATTCATGAATTATATTCATTTTGTGTGACACAGGCAATCAACTCCAATACAAAATGTCTAACCATATACCGAAACACTGCTCTCTATAGGTTCAACTTTAAATCTGAGGTCAAAATCCAAAATGGCAACATTGAAGCATATGCAATGCGTCTTTACTCTTTTTTTTGTGTGTGTACAATGGATGAATAAAAAAACTATTTGCAGCACTGGCTTATCTACAGCACATCAATAAATCACTGTTTGGATTCGTAACACCCTCTTTCTGAAATGTATAGCAGACTGTGTCCAGTGAACTTCAGTCTTCACTATTATATTTACAGTATAAATGAAATACACTCACTGTATATACAAAAAAATTAAAACTTATATATTGTACAGTTCAATGTTTTTTTTCAATCCCTGGGAGATGAGACACTTTAAAAATGTATGCAAAAAAAAATAATAATAAAAAATAAATAAATAAATAAATGGCTGTGTTAACTTTGTTAAACTGTTATAAATTAATTTTCAATACTAAATGATGAATACACATTATTCAAAAGGCATTCTTATTTGTAAGGCATTCACTTATGAAGCAAAATGATTCTGTAAGCCATTTATCTACAAAAAAAAAGTCAAAAGAACAAGCTGAATGTAAAAAAAAAAACTCATGGAATGCACACGGGCGGTATATATTTGAGGAGCTTACAATAGCTGAAGGTATGTTAGAATTACCGTTAAATTTTATAACATTTTCCAGAAAGATATCAAGCTCTATTGTGTTCGTATATCAAGAGATGTATTCCACAAAACATTCTCAGTGTATGATATTTCATGGATTTACCTAAGTTCGAGCTCCAAAAAAAAGCTTTACTATAGAGACGTGATTCTTAATAGATACTGTATATTCCCGCTTTATAGAAGTACAAAAAGCTTGCCTTCAAATGGACATTTTATCACAGTGCTTTTGGAAAGGTATCACACTTCATGACTGAAAAATTCACATTTTACACGACAACTTTTTCAGCCAAAAACGGGAAACTTTTTATGCGTTGTGCCTGTTCGTTTACACGACAACGGCGTTTTGGGGACTGTAAACGCATATTTTTGAAAACGGGTTTCAAAGTGCAAGTTTTTGAAAATGCCGCCGTTATCGTTTCCATGTAAACACCCAAAACGTGAAACTTTGAAAACGGTTACGTCATGTGCGTGTGTCGTACGTGTTAGGTATGTAGACATGTGCAGTACGTGTCGATTTTAAAGGCAAGCGCGAACAAACATACACAACAATGGCG